GCAATCGCATTGAATTCCCTCGCGCGGTTGAACAGTAAGTTCCAAGCTCATTTCCGTTTGAAAAAAGTCACGGCGCGGCGGTGCATCTAGCCGCCAAGACCCGCACGGATTTTTTTCTTTCTGTCCGCGCGCAATACCTTCGAGTCATTGCTGTAATAATAACATTGCTCGCGCGTCATCGTCCAAACTCATATTGTTTTCCGCGAATAGTGCAACTGTCATTCCTTGCGCGCGTCTACTACAGCGCAACGTATATCGTGCAGGGGGAAAATAGTACGCACATATTACACATTTGATTTTTGATGCACTGATGCACGCTATAAAAATACAATATTTCGCTACTTTGCTCGTTTTGTACTTATAAGCCCATAAATATAATGCAAGTATCGAAGGTGCCTCGCGCGCGCCTCTTTTAATTAAACGGATATGCGCTTCGAAATGTGCTGCGGCGGATAACCGCTTATACGGCAGGAACTCATCTTGATCTTCGCGCAGAGAGTTTCTATGCCTCGTAGACGAGTCCAGAAATGTTTTCCAATGGTCGCGACTTTGTATTTATTAGACGCGAACCGAATAACCGGGATTTCATCGATAAATTAATTTTTACGACATCGAGGCAGAGAAAGAGAAAACCCTCGCGATAAAATAGAAAATCTCGGATGAATAATACACAATCGTTGACTTTTTCATACATAGCCATGTGCGTCTAGTTCGTTAACGATGAGTTATATTCATAATTGCGTGCGCGTGTTTATACAATATTAATTCCGATTCCACGTCGAGAAAATCACCTCACGTGCGTCCGTACGAGCGTTTAGACATCTGAAAATAGATACCAGTATCGAAGGTCGAATCACAAGTTTATTTTTTTTTCTTCTTTCCCTGTATCGCATTTATAGATAATTATTATGAAGTCGCTCGGACGTTACTAACGAAGGTTTTGAGAGAATGAAAAAAACACCTCGTAGAATCTGATATATAGTATATTTTTGTAGAGAAAACAAGTTCGACGTCAGCGTTTGATTTAAAAAAAGAAAATGACATTTAAAAATAATATTCCAACGATCCCAAATAATGGCAGGTAAGGCTTGAGACTATAGTAATAAAAGAAGTATAAACATTTTACGCGGTTTTGTTTTTTTCAATCATTCATATCTCTTGTCTCGGTGCATACTGTAGTTTAATGAAAATGCAACATGACCTTCGACGAAATATTTCAATATGCATGTAAAGCAGCGCTACTGCAGAGAATCGTGCGTGCATGCGTGGGAATGAATTTATTGTTATTGCAATGTATACTTAAATAAGCAGCAATATAATATACGCACAAAATCGATTATTCCGCGAGCGAGATCTGCTGCAAGAAATTCCACATACCTGTGGTATTTAAACGAAAGACAGAGGTCTTGTATGCGCGCAAAAGAGAGAGAGAGACAGAGAGCATCGGCAAAAAATTCGGCATCGAGCCAGAGAAGGACGTTGAAGAGAAAAGAAATCTATCTGTAAGTACAGCTCTCATCGGAGAGAATTTCAAAATGGATTCCCTCTCGGTGCAGGCCGCGCTGCAGTCGAGTAGAGTCCAATGATCCGCGCGCCACGCCACAAAGAGAGGAGAAGATTCGAGGCTCTTTTAGATTTAGGATTGGGCGTTGGGGGATTATTAAGGTTCGAAACAAAACCGGATGGGCCGAGGCTTTCACCTGCAGCGATGAAAGGGTGCGCTCGCACGATTCGTATAATAGGGCCCGGTTCTCTGCGCCTTTCTTCCGAGGAGAAATTCTCCTGCCAACGTATTATACGTAAGTGTGTGTACGTATACGTGGGGGCATAGCTTCGGCGCTTTAATTTCAATGTTTTATGAGCTAAAAGTGAAGAAGCAAGTCTCGTTCAACGAAACCTCGTCAGTTATAAATAAGGATGGCGAGTTTATCGTAAAATAACATTCTCTATAGTTTGTTTATTAATTCGTAATTGATAATTTATGAATCGGTAATCGTATAGATGCATTTGAAAAAAAATGATGGTCGCTTGAGTCGTATTTTCAAACCATACACGGCTCGTTCGGGGCGAGAAATCCGCAAGGATTAATATTCTTTTAGTATCTTTCGAGGCGAAAAATTCATCGAACACAAAACAACAATCCAAGCACGCGAAAAGTCAAATTGTTCCCAAGACTCGTGTCATTTTTCGAGAAAAGCCATAAACTAATTCGTTCCTTTTTTTGTAACCCCGTTACCAAATGTATTTTTTTTTATCGTCTTACGCAAGCGGCGGCATAAATCCCAATAGCGACTGGTCCACGTTAGCGCGAAATATTATATTTATGAATAAGGCTGCGCGCGGCAGTGCGAAATTTGCAAGCGAGGCGCGATCGTTAAAAATAATATTCAACGTCGAGAGAGAAGAAGAGACAGAGGCCAGGGAGAGAGAGAGAGAAGAGCCGTCATCTTTTCATTTTCAACAATTAAACGCGCGCGTACGTATAATAATATACACGGCAGTACCACAACAAAGTTTGCAGCTATAGTTTAATTTTGTCTCGTAACCCGTCATCAGTGCGGAGACCTATAGCTCTGCTGCGCTCTGCTAGACATCATCGCTATACTCTCGCGCAAACGATAATTATGGCAACGTCGACAACGGCGGCGTGGATGCTGCTGCTACCGCAGTACCACACATGCACACGCGTACATACACTGTCGCGCGTGTTCGGCTTCCAAATCGGCCACATGCGTGTGCGTACGCGCGTATTTTTCCGCGCCTATCTGTCTGTATAGGTTGGACGACCAGCGAGAGAAGCAAAAGTATAAAAAAAAATCTATAATATCCCGTCTCCGTTACAACTGCAGTAGCAAAAGTATCTCTCTCTCTCTCTCTCTCTGTGCTCTCTGGCGCGTTCTGTCTCTTACCGCTAGTATTATATAGGCAACTATGTAACTGTAAATGTCATTATATCCTATAGCCAGAAGCAGCAGCAGTAGCAGCTATAGCTCGCCTTGCGGACGACGCAGTTTTTATCTATCTCTCTTTCTTATTCTCTCTCGGAGTGGATTCGATTCTCGCGCCTCGCGCCACTTTGCTTTTGTTCTTTTCTATCATTGTCACTTGCTCGTTTCCTCACTTTTCTGCTGATTTCCCCACGCTAATGGCTTTCTTTCGGAATATATAGCGTCGAGTGGCTGACGCGGGTGCTGCAGTAGCGCGATATAAAAGCACCTATACAGTTGCTAAATGTGCGTGGTATCCTTGTCGTCGCGAGAAAGCCGGCTTTGTTTCCGCCTCTCGTTTTCTCGTTTTATGTAGTCTACATAAACGAATCTGTGAAAATCTGTCGCGCGATGTCTGTACTTAGACGCGGCTAAGTGGGGTACTACTTTTGCCGTTTCACACCTGCAAACGAACCAAGACATCATCGGTCGAATCCCCTCGCAGTCGAGACGAGATGCAATATTCGATGAGTGGGATACTTTTTCTAAATCTCAATCGCACGGTATCTTTTTGTGCTTGCATTGATGCGAGCATGAGCCTATTAAAAATAGTTGCTGCACCGTGGCGTCGAAAAAGTAATCGATGATTAACGAGTGCAGAGCAATTTTATGCCCAGTGAAAATTAATATTATATTGTTGAAATAATGACGACGGCGATTGGGATTGATTTGCAATTCATCGCGAATAGAAATAAAACCACGGCGGCGTACGCGAGATTAATCAAATGTCCGACAATAGCCATACGCTAACAGAATGAGAGATAAGCCTGCTCGTAATAAAGATTTAAACTCGAACGAAGACGAGCGAGAAAATAAGATAGAATAAAGCCTCGCAGCGCAATGTTATTTTCTCGAGTGTGCAGGACACAGTAGTAAGGGCACATAAAAACGACACGAGCGCGACACGCTAATGACTGATCCATAAAGCGAGATTAAAGCCTCGGCGATGATTTATATAAAACCTCGCGCGCGGCTGGACGCAAGAGAGCCGATTTCCATCGCGTATCCCGATCGTTGTTCGCTGCCTCTATAGAGTCATCCTGTGGACCTTTAACGGTGTGCGCAGCTTGATTGCTGCTTTTCAGCTTGTGTACGAGACATTACGTAATGTATATGGCTGTCTGTGCACGTGGAAAAATCGATCAACGATACTTCAATGATGCAAGCTCGCGTGGATTTTTTTAAAAACTCTTGATTATTTCCAATTATCGAGCTCGTGCATTATTACAAAATCATCGATTCATCTTTAGTCAAGTGATTCTACACGAAGAAAAAGAAAAGACGGCGAGCACAGTGAGCCAAACAATAATCGGTTTTACTGCAGGCAAAATCCACAAACGGAACTGCACCACACGCAGCATCTTTTTTCTTTTCGAGCTCGTGCGTTAAGTGAGCGAAATGAAAAATTTGCATGATGGCAAATATAATGAGCCGCTGCAGCAGGTGCTGATTCTCGCAAGGTCAACGATCTATTCTCGAGGATTCCTTGAAAGATACTGCGTTTACCTGGACTGCAATATGATATTATTTTCGAGAATTATGATTGAGCTTCGGACGATTTTTTTCAAGCTGTATGCAGGAAAAAGTACGTGGATAATTGCAATCGAGACAGACAATTTGCGTTTATTGCACTTCGGTAACGAGACCATAGCAAAACTGTGCCGAGTGTCTCGTTTCAAGCGATTGCAAACTGGAACATCGAAACGATATTAAAAAGCATGAGTTATTGCTGCTCTTCTGTTGCAACTGAATTATTCTTTTTGACATAGATGCATGTGGACAGTTTACGATACATTTGATTGTTTTTTGTCAACCGGTTTCACTTGTACTTTCAACGTCATAAAAATACAAGCTTCGATGAGAATATTTTTTCTGCTTGTCTAATTTAAATTCAATTTGCATATAAGCGAGTTTTATCTCTCGTACTATTATACATATATTTTCAATTGTATACGAAAACAAGTTTTAAATCTATATAAACTTTCTGATTTTAGTCGTTTTTAAAAAACTTACGAAACCATGACATTACGACAGCAACGTTGTATATGAATTTCGAGAAGTTAACTGGCCTCTCTTACCTGTAACACAAATCATAAAGAATATTAAATAAAATGATGTCTATGATTTTCGAGTCTTATTCAGTTTTTTAATGTGGGAATCAGAACCGCAACACGGTAATAAAAAAAAAGGATTGATACGATTGGAAAAACATAAAGGGAATGCGTATAAATCGATAAAGACAAACGTCGTAAAAAGTGATTGCGTACAAGAAACTTGGCCAGTATGTAGGTGTATTCCAGTCTTGGTAGCCAGCTCAAAGTCTTTTAAAACTATGCGTCCCTGTAAAATCGGCATGTTCATATATGTAAGCGAGCATTATGCGTCACTGCGGGTAAGAAAAGCCATTTATTACCCTCGTCAATTGACGTAATGAAGTTCACGCAAATGATCCAAGCTTGCTCAGGGAATATGAAAGAATTTTCCTACGTAGCGCAGATTCGCATTACCATCGACGATGATTTCGTTATTTATGAAATTTCATTGATCGGACGCGCCAAAGTAGACGAAGACGATGAAGACGAAATTTATGAACTTGAGCGCGCGACCCTACTTAACCACGACGACTTCGTTAAGACGCCACGAGAGCTTAAAATCTAATTTAGATTCTTCGTCTTGTTTATAATAACCCAAACATTTTTTCATAATTATATCGGCACCATCATTACTCGACGATCATCAACTTGTAATTTAAGGCTTTTTCTTACATGGAATAAGTAGGGGGTAAAAAAAGCAGTAAAGTCGATCATTTGAAATCCATTCAGTTAGTGATTAATAGGGCTGGCATTGGACAATATTAATTTTCATCTCATTGAGAAATTCAATTATATACAATTAATACGCTAAAAACAAAAGAAATCTTTAGAAATGTATAAATTTATCAAATTTGACATCTAATTTTAATTTTTCGGCTATTGGTGTCCGCTGTAATGGATGGGATCAGGTTTCAATTAGAACGGCGAATGCATAATGTGAATTTCCGCGCACGCCGATCGACGGGTTCCGCGTGAGAATCCGAGTGTGCAGTCGCAGAAGCTGAGATTCACGCAGATGCATTCTTCATTCGACCTCCGATACACGAACATACAGTTCAATTATGTCGATCAACTCGCAATTGTTATATTTTTTATCACTGTATATGTTAATGCTGGTTGCATTTTAAATCAGGTAAATTTGTTCAAATAAAATCTCTCTTTTTCTCGAGGGAGTAGACTCATTGATCAACTGATCAACTCTACTTTGTTGAGAAATAAATATTTAACTTTTCATATCACGAGGGTAGATTTTTTTTCTCGTATTTCAATGAAAATTCAGCGCATGAAAGCGATCCGTGCACAAAATCCAATACACAATGCGTGCGAAAGGAAAAAAATTGTATACATAATCCTGCATCCTTAGATGTCTATGCGTCCTTTTGTTACTCGAGTAGGTATACAATCAGCCCCCTCATCCCAGCTTCTTTTTTCTTAAAAGCTTCCCTGCGAGACAAGGAATATAAAAAAAGTCGAGTAGTCTGCGCGAGCTTGTGAGTGTTTATGCGAAAAGGTGTACCGCCCTTCGTTTGAATATTCAGTGATTGCGCGCGCGCACTCACGCGTAGGGTGAAAAATTCTTCGCATACTCGTTCCGTCCTTGCTGCTTGCGAAATATCATATTCTCCGAGTTATGTTTTTTTTCAAAATTAAATTCTTTCTAATTATTATTATCAAGTCAGAGGCTCTTTTGCATGTGACTCCAGTTTTTACGGATCTCATCTTATGCGCACGAGAGAGAGATAATTACGGTATTTCGAAAATTACAACGTCATTAATTACGAGATATGTACTGCGTATTCCTTGCCAGTTAAGCTTGAAATCTTATACTTGGCTCCCTCTTTCTCTTGCTCTCTGAATTGATGAGCTCAATCAAAGATTCACTTTACTTTTCTTCTATTTTTTGTGCGATTTACATTTTCGCATGAACTACCCTGATAAACTAGCTACACTTTCAGCACGCTTCGGTCGCTCTCTTTTGTTTCTTCTTATTTTGCCAATTTTTAATTTTAAATAAATTAAAAGAAGATTTTAAAAACACGCAAGAGTCACTTTTTGGCTCAAACTCCCCGTAGAAAATCAAAATTAGTCTCAATAGATTGATAAGCCATCTTTTCCATTGAGCACAATTTTCTTAATAGAGGCGCCGCTAGACGTACTACAGTAAGCTACTGAGCAACCAATCACAGCGCTTATAAACTGCTCACGCTCAAAACCCTATTACTTTTATTTATTTAGAATAGATAGATAGGTAAATTTCGAAGCAGCAATTAATCAAGCCAGCAACGCAAATCAATAAGAGCATAGATCGGGAAAGCGATAGACTCCTGCAGAAACGATTATCATCATCGTGCGCAAATCGTCTGTATATGTATTCAAGAGTTACAGCATCTAGCCGAGGTCACGCAATAATTGCCAATAATGCCGGAAGCCGAGAAGTGTCTGCAGAGGGTAGAGCAAGCAGCAACACACGAGGCGATCCAATCGCCGAGCTATGCAGAGAAGAACAAAAAGACAGAGAGGTTCAATTAAAGCAACGACGGCAAACGGCCGGCTTCGAGTTTATAATATATAATGCTTACTCTCGCGGCCGCTGCGGATCCTCGGCAGAGCTACTATATATGTGCACCTGATTCATCGAAGCAATCCAGCTGTTGTACGATATAGATTGCATAAAAACGTGCAAAAGTAAACTCGCGAGGGAGAGAGAGCGAGAGTGTTTTGTATGATGCGCGGGCTATGAAGTTTTTTTTGCAGATAAAAAGGCAGCTTTTCTGCGCTCTCTGCGTCTTTGAGAACTGCGTCCACGATGCGCAAGCTTTGTAAGCACTCATATGCAATAGTACAGCAGAGGCAGTAGCAGCCGATAATTAGTAATGCTCAGGTACTAACAAACGATGAGAAGTTAAAGGTGGCTGCGTTTGCAAGCCAATGAATTCCTTGACTTTATATTTATGTCGAGTGTGGATCGGATGGGCAATAAGCAGCGTTGGTAGCATATTTAAGATTATAATATATTTAATTTCTTTGAAATCTCAGTTACTAAAATTTATTTTCTATTGAAGAATAAAGGTGGTCAAAAAACGGAATTTATCGGTTGCGATGCCTTGATTGTGGAGATCGAGAATTGCAGCTCACACTCTTGCGTTTTTCAATTTCTAATACAAATTTCGAAATATCTTTCGTGTATATTGATGACACAACGCGAAAGTTTGACTCTCCATCGACCGTCGGTACTTCCCACTGCACCGATACGATCTTGTATATGAATGGAAAATCGTAAAGGCAGAGAAAGAGAGAGAATAGGAGAAATGAGTCGGAGCAGCTGGAGCAGGCAATAAAAGGACTAAAAATCGAACGCCACCGCTGTAGACTCGATTACAGTTTTCTCCGCGAGGATGTATAATACCGAGAATTATTCGGTCGGGACGCCGTGGCTCGAGCCATTCTGTACGCATTGTCATAAAATGTTATTATGGAATCTAACGGTAAATCGGCTATACACAAGAGTATATACCAACACAATGTATAAATATAGTGAATGAACTTTTTTAGATTGGGTCTTAAAACTTTTAACAAATTAGGCTAATTAGTAAAGCGCATCGTTATCACTCGGATTTTATCTGCAACTTGTCTCGAATCTCAAACGCGCAGCTGCACAGCTGCACAATTGTGGCTTTATTGACGATACTTAACCTTTTTTCATTATACGATCGGTATACTTTGTTTTTCTCTTTTATGTTCTAATAATTCGACGTATTTACCCAACGTTCATACAAGCAGCACACATATTACATGAGGCAATCCGTATTCCATCCTGAGACTTGAAATCCGGTCCAAAAATTTTTTCGCTTTTTTAGAAAATCGCTTGTAATTTTCATAGATACAGTATATTTTTTAACGGGTGAATTTATGGTTTTCTTAGCAAAACAAAGGATTATAACGCGAGCGGAAGGCGAGTGCTGAGTTTTGATACGTTCATTTTATTATATTTCTTATTAAACTTTACTAATTTATCAAAACAAAATCAATGCATATATTTATTGAAATAGTAGTATCACTAGTCTTTTTTAGAATTTTGGTGACCATTTATCACTTAATTCTTGATGTACTTTGACAAAATTTTAAAACTATTTTGGAATTGATCTTAAGGCCCATAAGATTAAAATAAGCATAGTAGACTTCATTGTCAGGTACTGGGAGATCCCAAAAAAATTTTCATGTGGTCTCCTTGTTAGTTCAAAAGTGGATTTGCACAAATATAGATCGATCTCATTTTCGAAGCGACGAGTGAACTACTTTTTATTGTGAAGAACGTCGATCGCCAATGTGCCACTAGGTGAACATTAAAAAACAGCGGCTTTAGAGACGTTACTAGACAAATAATACTAGGTAAAAAATTAGTTTTAGAAACTGTACTACATGAAAACGTTAACTATTTAAATATTCGTTTATTTTTAAAATTGTTACATGTACCCAGGTAAGAATTTTCAATTCTGAAAAAGCATTTTAAAAATGTGACTAATTGATTACACAAACATTCTGTGTGCTCATTTTTCAATTTTGCCTATAAGTAACTTAGACGCCATTTTTTTACTTGGTAAGCAATATTAGCCATCGAAAACCCTCATCTATAAAAATGCAATCATAGACACAAGTTTATAAGCTTTTTGATCAAAAAGTCGCAAAAGTATGCATGCAAGGTATACGTATAAGCGTAATTATTTCTTTATACTATCATCCCAAATGTGTGTGTGTGTATCTGTGTATAGGTTTGTGCGTGTGCAGTGCATATTATACAATCTTTACAGCACGAGCGTCAGAAGAAAAAAAAAGGTAAAATCTTATACGTACTTACAGAGAGCTGAGAATTACGAACCATTACTAATAATTGTCCAAGAGAAGCGGGAGAGAGTGAGAGAGGGTACAGAATGCGTAATGCGCCTCTGTCGGATTGGCTCTCACGCGATATATTCGCGCCTCGCCGA